AGATTAAATTGTCCGTAATCATACCTTATATGGATAAAAAAAACTACTTTACAGAACGAACAATGAAAATTGACCTAAACGGTCAATTATCAAATAACATAATTCTTAAACGAGGTGCACCGCAAGGAAGCGTTTTTGGACCCATAGCTTACATCGTTACTCATTACGACATCCAACAAATCTTTGAAGTACCGGAAAATAATCACCTATATGTCGACGATCTTGGAAGTGTTTTTATTCCAAATATATATATATATATAAAATACAGAGATCAACTAGTCGCAATTCAAGATACAATCAATCAAGATCTAATAAGGCTTAAGGCTACAATAATATGCAACAGAATGGCATCAACCAGTAAACAGTAAAAAAGCGGAGTTCGTAATTTTTACCAGGGTTTCCAAGAGTCCAATATTAAACATCAGTCTCGATGGCACTCAACTTCAACAAAGGAAAAATTTTAAATATCTAGGATATCGATTAGACTCGAAACTATCATTTAACTGTATTGTCAATGATCACTTGAGTAAATGTCGACAATCATATTCAATAATGAAATATATTCATCGTCAATTTCCTTCGTGCTTTAAACTAAAACTACGTTTCTTTACTACATATACATGACCGCACCTATACGCAATGTCCACCTTTTTATTGTTTACTATCAACGACATTAAAAGAAAAAATCAATAGTTTCTATCGCTGATATTTGCGCATAATATATCACCTATTCATTCATTCTTACTCGATTTCCTCGAAGATTTTTCTCGATAAACTATGATTACATTGTTCAATAATTAATAGCTAGAATAAATATTTCTTCATGTTACCGAACTGATTTTTCTATGAATAGTTTTCTTTTTACACTGTGAATCATATGTGTACCATATTGTTTTTTCAAGCTTTGTTTTTTATTCGGCAAATGATTTGTTTAAAAATATCACTGAAAAATTTAGATTCAATCAACTGTTTTTCAATTGAGTTCAGTTAGAACTAAACAATAAGCTCAATATTTTATTCTGGAACATAAAACACTGCCAATATAATATAGTAAATTATATGGATTATTATTGTTTAACCTCGTTTGAGTCTATATCATTTATTATATTTTATTAGTACTGTAAAATCTAATGAAAGTGGAACTACAGTAGAACATATTGGCAAACCAATGTATAATAGGGAAATCTTCCATTTATGTCACTTTCATTTCCTAACGTACATGTATTCACAAGAGTTTTATTTTAAAAAAGCAAGCTAGTGATTACAATAAATAATAAGTTCATACGTATTCTCCATCATCAAATGTATCGATTTGAGTATCTTTTGAATAGTTACACTACAACATTGGTATTATACGATTGAACATGCATTGACAACTTCTCATTTTTTTTGTAGTTAATTTCCTCACAATTTTATCATCAATATTGTCAGTAGTTGGAGTTATAATAGGGAAGCGTGGACACGGCGGGTTGATTAGCTTCGTTGATCAAGTAAACGCCATCTTTACCAATCTAGTGATTTCCATGAGAATTGCACGTCCTTTGTGAAGAGACCCTTCTTCGATGAAAAGAGTAGAGACAAAAATGAATTCGTACTCTGCATCTCCACGAGTAAGAGATAAATGATCTATACTGATTAAATACGTGTTGCGATGACGAAATTGTGCTGGTTGATGATAACATCGACCTGCCAGAGCGATACTTTTCTAAAATTAGAATGCACTATCAGTAGATTGTACGAATCTATGCTAAATAATTTGTATTCAAATACCCTGTTGCAAAAGACGAACTTATTTTTTTCTAGAATTCTGCTTTTTCTTTTGAAAATTAAGATGATGAATAGGTTGATGATGTCATCTTTTCCAATGAGAACGATCTGTTTATGCACACTATAAAACTACACTACGTTTTTCCGTATATCACTTTTCGGTGAGCAGCACTCTCAATATTCAATAAACTCGAGAGAATATAAACGAATGAACATTTTTTTGCAAGCTGATTCTTCACAACAATGTGTATGCTAGCACTGATTGTGCTTTTCCAGTTTTATCCGTCATTATTGAGCATTTATATTTTTTTAACGGAGAATGAAAATATTTAATTGCTTCTAAAATAGAAAGTTTATTTTGATGTTGATAATACCATGGAAGATAAAAGTAATGTACTTACATTGTCTAGATTTACCGAAAAACAAAACCTAATGAAAAATAACTAAACAGAAAACAAAAATAGCTAAATTTCATGATAGTACTGAAAATCAACTGATTGATTCAAATCCATATCATGAGAATGGCTGACTGCACGAAATGGTACACATCATGTAGTTTAGTTTCTTCTATGTTAAGTGACACTGAATAATCAAAACTTCACGAATAAAAGAAAATATTTCTAATGAATCAACAAACTTATTCAAGAATATACCGATTGATATATACTCTGTTTCGGACGACTTAATTCTCGACACTGAAATATCATAATACGAAGAAACCCGTAATGGATAGAAACATTGTAGTCATCAATCAAGCGTAATTTTCAATTTGTAGGCATTACAATAATAAATGATATTCATTGATGAAAAACATATTATATAACTGCAATAAAACAACCACATTCTTCATATGCAGTAGTTTACAATATTTAACTAAATTGAAATCTAATTATAGGGTAAATTAATCATTTTAAATATCTACGTATTCATGATTAATGTGAATCCGAAAACGATATGGACTACTCACGCTTATTTCATTTGACTAGTGTTAGTGTTGATACGAATACGAATTGATTATTGTATAATGATTACATTAAATCAAACACATTTAACTACAATACTTGTAACTATTCATTTTGATAATGTTGAAGAACAAAATGTTATCTCATTGAGATTTTGTATCTAACAGCGATTAGAGATCATTTTACTGATTGAAATATTTTTTTCGATACTTTCAATAATGAACATAATTGAAAAACGTGTACCACGTCTGCTTGCTCTAGACTAACGCAAATAGAAGTTTTTTCGTATTGTCAAAATTGAAATTTTATCATTTACTATTTGATTCTTTTGTTCTATCAACAATAATGAATTGTAAAGGTGTCCTTTTCGTCGTTTCAAGAATAAACTTGCTAATTTAAAATACTTTTCATTGACTCATAAATATAAGTTGATTTATTTGTTTTCATAATCAAAATTTCTTACCATCACAGGAAGATATTCAGTATATAATTTTCGTTATTTTCTAGTGAAAAATGTATGTCAAACATAAAAGATCGTCAATAAATGTTGTCGGTGCATATACGATGTAACACGACAACATAAAAGATCAATTAGCGGTCTAGTCAATATTACAAAATTTGTTTTTTCGACACTCTTAGGAATGCTTGCGATCTTTACGATCGATTGTATACCAATCAATCAAAACCACCAAAGACCACTTTATGTAGTGAGCGGAATGTTAAATTTTACAAATAGAAATGAAATTTATTTGATCTCGATTGCTTACCAATTGTCTATTTCTTTCGAATAACAAAAATGACTATAAATAGTAATGATTTTTAACGTTAGAAATCATTCCCCATCTTTCTTTCTCTTCTTCTTACATTATTAAATATATATTTTATTATTTAACTATTTTAGCTTGTATTCATACTGATCATGGTTCAATATCATAGGTAAGTATTAGTTTAATTTTATTTTTTTGTTGTCTCAGCTTTTTATCCCATTTATTTTAATTTTTATATAATGATAATTGTCTTTCTATTATCTATTTTAGTTTCAATTTTACTTTTTCTATTATCTATTTTAGTGATACAAAAGAGTAAGTATAATTTTGTATATATGTATATATATATTACGTCCTACGGAGACCTTCCATACATCGGCGTGAAACTGGCCAAGCCTATTTTGGTGCCCATAGCACGTACAGGCCGCATATAGATCTTCCTGTTGTATGTTCTATACACGCTAGATCTATGCCTGTACGTGAAGAGCCTTGGCTCTCTATGGTACCAACAAGGTAGTTCTTGGTCGCGCGAGCAACTATTAGCTGGTAAGCAAAACAAATAATAATTTTTCATTCCATTCAATTTATTTCTGCTTGTTTCGTTTTAGTTCATTTCTTCAACAGCAACGTAAATTCCTTTCAGTCATCTTATTTCAAACAAATAAAATTAATTCTTATTTTTCTGTTTTAGTTCCATTCAAACATTCAATTCAATTCAAACCAAACGAACACAAATGTAAGTATATGTTGTGGTCAAAATTCAAATCCAGTCAAATTTTAAATTTGCCCGGGCAAAATTCTAATTTGAATTCTGTCTGGGCAAATTTTAAATTTGCTGGATTTGACTTTTGACCAAAACATATATATATATTTTCAGTCCTGTTGTTTTATTTTTTTGTAACTTGTTTTTTTTTGATTTTTCAAATAAACATTATTCAAATAATTCAAATTTTTTCTTTTCACTTTACTTATAAATTATTTTTATGTTAACAATAAACAGTTTCTAAATAACTCAAATCTTTTTCTTTTCATTACAATCATAAATATTTTCATTTCAACAATAAATATTTTTATGTTAACAAAAAATTATTTCAAAATAACACAAAATTTTATTTTCATTTCACTAATAAATTAATTCATTTTACTACTAAATATTTTTCAATTTACTAAAATTTTTTTTTCAATTTACTAATAAATATTTTTATGAAAATAACACAAAATTTTAGTTTTTCATTTAAATCATAAATATTTTCAAAACGACACAATTTATTTTTTTCACTTTAATAATTAATATTTTTTGCGAAAAATAATTTTTATTTAATTCATTTGTTTTCATTTAACAAATAAATAAATAAAAGAAGAAGAAAAGAAACATGACGTAATTTTATATTTTAGCTTTTTTCTTTTCTTTGAAGCGAGAGAATAAAAGAAAATTTCTTTTTTTTGTTCATTTATTTCAAAGTATAGAAAAAGAAACGAACAAAGAAAAAACAATTCACAAGTCTCATTCGATAGAAAATCGTTGAACACGATGATTATGCTCATCGGCGACATAGAGATTACCATGTCGATCGAAAGACAAACCATGGGGGATGTTGAATTTATTTGCTCCTTGTCCTAAACCATTTCCACCCACAATTACAGTGCCTTCTTTTGCTCCTTGAGTCCAACGCATTACACGATTATTCCCCTGGTCTGCTACATAGAGTGTACCCAACGTATCAACGAAGATTCCATTAGCATAATACAATTGTGTCACAGCACCCCCTTTGCCTTGTCCTCCAGCGACCACAATACCTTCTTTTGCACCTTTATTCCATTTCATTACACGATGATTGTTGTTGTCTGATACGTACACTGAATGATCTCGATCGACAAAGAGATATGTCAGCCAGTTGAGTTGATTGAGTCCATTACCTTCTCCATTACCACCAGCTACGAGAGTGTAACTCTTCTCACCCAATTTATATCGTCTTACTTCATGTTTTTCGACGTCAGAGACGTAGAGATATCTCCGTTCATCCATTGCTAATCCCCAACATTGGATTTTGTCGATGAGTATCTCACCTTGTGTTGTACCACTACGACGAGGCCATCGTACAACTCGTCGATTCCCAAAATCACAAATAATGAGACTATCCGTCTCTTTGTCAATTAATACATCAGTTGGCCAATACAATTGATGTAATCCATATCCTACGCCTTCACCACCAGCAACGACTTGTCCGTTCATTGTATCACCGTTCTTCCATTGCATGATGCGATGATTCCCGTTCTCAACAATAACCACTGTTTGATCATCATCAACGAAGAGACCAACAGGTTTGTAGAGTTGATTAGTGGCACCCCCTCTTCCGTTACCTCCAGCAATAGTCACTCCGTTCTGTGCCCACGTAGCATTAGCAGGAATATTAACTACAAGAGAAAGCGTAAGAATAAAAGGAGATCTTTCTAGAGTATAGCTAGCATATATGAAATAATTTCGAAAGTATCGAGGTAAAATTCTTTGAATAGATTATTCTTTCTATTTCTAGAAATTCCTCAGAATAAGTTTTTTTTCTATTCTGGAAGATTATTCTATAGAAACAATATAGTTCTCTCTAATGCTCTTGTTATGTTGAAAATGAGATTTTTTGCATCAAACTAGTTCTATATAGACATTTTATCTTTTGCTTTGTATTTTTGAGTCTATATTTTCTATGAACATATAATAATTATATAATGATTTATTTCTTATATGAGCTTATTATGCGTACGTTGTATTATTTTCCTATCTTGAGGGTGTCAATTTACAGTTAATTTTATTTAAATTTAACTTCGTGAAAAGTTAATTTTAAATTAAATAAATTGTTTGGATGGATACTCATCATTGCTACGAGGAAAATATGTGACTTTAACAGTAGTACATACTAAATGAGAGGAAAACCTAGTATTTTAGGTTAATATTTGTTCAGAATAGTCAAAACTACTCTACAGATTATGCAGGATCCGTCACTTTTCTTCTTTAAAAACACCGGGATGCTCATAAAAATATATTTAATAACAAAATTCGTAGAAGAATGACTATAGTTTTAACTTTAGAAAACAGGAAACATATTCAAATTTGACTTTAAATAGTAGCAATCAAGTCAAGAACTATGTTTATCTACTAGTTTTCAAAATTTAATTAATTTCAATTTAGTTAAATTTAACTTTTCATTTGAAAAAAAATTTTATTTATTATAAATTAAAATGTGACACCCCTATTTCCTATGATCAAAAAATATCTTTGCTAGAATCTTTTTTGTTCTCTCTTAAATCTAAGTAATTAGATCATTTCTGTGCCATTAATTTACCGTTTCAGATATTCAGAAAATCACACATCCCATTTTTGGTATAGGCATGCACATCCTTCCTTATTCACAGAATTGCGTTTCCTTTTTATAGAATTCCCTTTTTTGTTCATGAGAATGATAATTAGAGTAGTAGGCGAGCGCACTTAAATATTACAACAGTTGCCGAGGAATTACCTGGAGATTTCACACCAAATCAGAATGTTCGCGGAAAATTATCAAGATGCCCTCGGAGAGAATATAAACTTAGTTGATCACATAAGCTCATACCAATCACCAAAGTAATCTATATATGGGTGTATAATTATGGATAGATATATGCATTGACATGAGAGTGGTCACTCGTTATATAACGCGCACTTCCCTTTTTCAACAAGTAGGGGGAATAGAAAATGAAATCGAGAAAGGGAAAAGAGCGAATATATAAAAGGACGAGAAATTGGTGGGTGTGGGCGGACATTTTTTAGTTAGGGTAGTAACAAGAAGGAGAATACTTAGAAGATTAGAAACAGTAGTTACGTAGCTAGACATGTCAAACGAAAGATAGGGATCATTACCGTGGAACTGTTGTATCACAATCATTCTTTTTATAATTTACGTCTCAACGCTCAATTTATCTCATTTATACCAGTTTATTGTTCAGTGTGTGTATTCATCTTATTATTAAAATAAACATCAGTGAATTCGTAACGTTATATTTTAACTCATTGATTTATCTACGAATAAGTACCGACCAAAAACAAAATATTTCGTTACAATTTCCTATTTAGAAAATCGCACACATTTCTTGCAATCTAGAATATGTTTGTATGCCACTAAGTACGTCCCTCGTAAAGGACGAGATTAGATAGGGGTTATATGAACCACTGGACGTCCGCTCATAAGTCATAGAACTAATTGACATCCTTGTATATGACGACACATAATCACCCACTGAACAATACGTAATCGTTCCCTTTATCCTTTTCTTTTTCTATATCATTTTCTCCCTATACGTATATCTTTCTGTCTCTATGTATCTTCTCTCTCTCTCTCTAGTATATAAACTCGCGTTCTACGTGAAATAGTGAGCAGTATAAGAGCGGCAGTATTGGATAGTATTAGAGCAGTAGAAAGGCCGTTGAGTCGAGTTCACTTCTACCCAGGTCGAACATTCCGGCCACCGGATCCCGTAGGATACTCCAGGGAATATGCGGGAAAGTCACCATATCCTGCAGGAAAACGCGGGAAATCGCTGGAATATGGAAGCAGTATTCCGGTCAAAAATACGGCCGGACTTTTCCGGCGAATTCCTGCCAAGTTCCAGTGCTTTCCGGCAGGAATTGATCGGAAATCACCGGAAAAAATCCAAAACTTTCCAACCGGAATACTGCTTCCACAAAATCAACGGAACTACTCGAAACCGGCCGTTTCCAGGCCGGACTGTTCGACCTGGGATTGTACTATGCCTTATCTTTGTATATATTTAGTTTTTATATTCATCATTTCTTCTCTAATAAATAGCTGAAATACTGAGGGCAAAGACTTTTGCATTTTACTGTATCTCGATAGTTATTTGAAGAATATTTACGCGACCTAAATATTTTTCCGTTACAGTTTGAATTCTAATTATAATGGAGCAATACAAAATATACATCCTGTACTCCGAAGTAGAAGAAGCAATACGCACACTGAAAAAGAACAAAAGTCCAGGATCAGATGGAATTGCAGCAGAAATGCTACAGGCTGGAGATGAAGCACTAGTACGATAAATTCACGAACTATACAAGAGCATGGTACGAAGGTACAATTCCTGAAGAATGGGAAAAATCTATCCTATAGTACCAATAACAAAGAAAGAAGATCTAAGCGAATGTGCGAATTACCGAACGATCTCCCTCATCAACCACACAGGAAAAGTACTGCTAATCGTGCTACTGCACAGACTCAAGCAACAACTGGAGACCCATCTGTCTGAAGAACAAGCAGAATTTAGAAAAGACAGAAGTACAATACACCAAATTCTGACACTCAGACTATAATAGCAGAGAAGGCAAAAA